AGTTTACCAAGTCTCATAGCTAAAATTTTTGTGTTAACTTTAGCAATGAAATTGGATAAACAAATGGGCCTGAAGTCCTCAAAAGTAGTAGGATTCTCTTTTTTGGGAATTAGGATGATAGTGGATTTGCCAAGATTTTTAGGAATGGGAATTCCTAGAAAGAATTCCTGGACAGCTCTTGTAACATCTTCTTTGATAATGTCCCAACAAGTTCTATAGAAGTCTCCTGTAAACCCATCAGGTCCAGCTGCACTTTCAGGATCTAAACTCCATATAGCTTCCTTGACTTCAGGGTAATGAGGGTGTGGTTAGCAACTTCATTGATCAGGGTGGGGATATTTGAGAGGAATTGGTCATGTCCTGTACTCTCCTCCCAAGAGAACAGTTGACTGAAGTAAGAAATAGCCTCTTGCTGAATCTCCTTATTGTTATCAATCCAATGTCCCTGATTGTTTTTTATTCTCTGAATGGACTGAAAGTGTCTTTTTTCCTTCAAAATTGCATGAAAGTATGAGGAATTGCAGTCCCCCTCTTTGAGCCACTTGATTCCAGTTTTTTGTTTTCAAAATGGAATTCATTTTTAGTGGCCTTAATCAATTGAGCTCTTGTTTCATTCATAAGAGTTCTGTTATCCATGCTTTGATTCTCCTCATAGTTTCTTTCTGCTTCTTGAAGTTGTGTCTCTAATTCTTCCACTTTGGAGGTAATGTTCCCAAATGTGTTCTTGTTCCAATTGTGGAGAATTGTAGTGAGTTTGGATAGTTTGTCCATAAATCCTTTCATTCCACCTCCTTTATAATCTCCCCAGTTGTCTTGAATAATTTTCTTGAAGGAGTAGTGATTGGCCCAGCAGTTTATATACCTGAAAGGTTTAGGTCCTTTGAAGCTAGGGTTCTGCATTTTGATGATGATAGTGCAATGATCAGAGTTCCCTCTGGAAAGATGTTGACATGAAATGTTTTCATAGTGTTTATGGCAAAGAGAGTTTGTGAAAACCCTATCAAGTCTTTTCCAAACTCTTCCCAAGGATCTAGTTCCTGTCCAAGTAAAAAGATTACCAGTAAAGGGGAGGGGGGGAGTAGAGACCATTATCCATGATACAGTTATCAAAGTCTTGAATGCTGTTAAGACAGGGGGTGCTCTTCCCTTTATGATGATCCATTGAGGAGATGGCATTAAAGTCCCCCCCAATAATCCAGCTATCAGTATTATTTTGGTTGCTGATGTTGATAGCATCCCAAAGACTTTTCCTTTCTTCCCTGGTGTGTTTGCCATAAACTCCTGAGAAGAGAATGTTTTTGTGTGTATCCTGGCAGTGAAAGAGGATGTTGATCATTTGACCCATGTCTGAGTGAGTGATGTAGGTGAGATGGTCAGCTTTTTACATTATCCATAATCTGTTACTTGAGCTATGGATGGAGTTGGAGAATCCAAGTTCAAGTTGCAGGTTGGGAAGGTTCTGAGGTTGAGATTTGGGTTCAATGATGGTAAGGATGGTAATTTTATGTTTAGAAACTAAAAGGGATAACCTCTCCTTTTTAGAAGTTAACCCACATAGGTTCCAAAAGAGGCAATTCATTGATGACTTGTTTGAGTGGAACTGTTTGAATTGGATTTTTCAAGAGTGGATTTCCTTGTGTTGGTAACTGTGAATCCTTCCTTTTCAGAGTTTCTTTGTTCCTGATGCTTTGATGTGGGTGGAGGGGGACAGGTACTTTCAGGATCACTCAGGTAAGTCACATTGTATTTTAAAGATGGTTCCTGAGTGTGTGAATCATCTTTTGAGAGCATGACCTTGTTATTTGGTGTTTTGCTGCAGATGTTATAAATATCCATCATGATGGCATGTTGGAGCTCATTGTCAGAGGGTGAAGGTGAGTCTGCGTTGGATGTTTCATGGTTGGTGTCTGTAGAATCTGGTTTTGAAGTGTTGATAGTTGAAGGTTGGGTTTCTGGTTGGGATGTTGTTGTGGGGTGTTGTACTGGATGGGGAGTGTGGATTGAGGGGATAAGTTGGTTTTCTAGGTGGGTTGGGATTATGGTATCTTGAGGTACCGGGTGTTGGGAGTGAGATGGGCTAGTCGTTAAGGGTTGAGTTGTTTCTGGGGGGTGGTTAGGGGCTTGGTTGATACTTGGAGGGTGGGGAGTGTTGGGTTTGATAGTGGACATGATTGGCTATCTTGAATATATGTGGGGTTGGTTGGAAGTGTGGGTTTTGGCATGCATGTTATGTTTGGGTTGATCAGAGATGAGAGATGATTGATTGAGATTTGTAGTGGGTGGGGTCACTGGGTGCAGGTCTGGAAGTGGGGTTTGGGGGATTTGTAGTTTACTTGTTGAAGGTTTATCAGGACAAGGTGGCTGGGTGGTTTTGGCTGTTTTCTTTTGGAAAATGGTGGCATTTTTGGGTGTGGGAATTTTGAGAATATTCCGGCTATGGTTTGGGGCTTCCTGAAGATGGCTAGGCTCTTGGGCATGTTTACTTTTCAGCCTTTTGCATTCTGAACTGTGTCTAGAAATGCCCTTGCATGTGTGACACTAGGTAGGAACTTCTTCATAGATTGCTTCTAGGGATAGTTGTTGTGATCCATTTTGAATGAAAAATTTTGAAATTTGAGGTTGAGAAATGTCAACCTCAACACAAATTCTGGCAAGTGAAGGTCTGCCAAAACTCTCTGTAGTGGTATCAAGCTTGATAGGCCTATTCTAAGTGAAGGTGGATAGGCAAGTCTTTGATTCCTATCCAGACACGCATAATAGGAGATTCAACTTTAGGATCAAAGGTTGGTGTCCACTTAGAAACCAACATTTTAAAAGGACCTAAAGTTCATTCCCTTCTTTTGAAGCATCTGTGATATTCTTCTTGGGAGGAGAAATTAAGAAGAATATGTGTAGAGTCAATGAGAGTAGCTGAAAAAGCTTTAAAACCAATTCTTTCTAAATTATGCCTCACATAATCTAGACTTGGTCTTCCAAAGAAGAAAGAGCCTACTAGTGCCTTAGAGAATCTGGAGGCAAGCAGGTTAACTTCATCTTTTGTGAAGGACACACAAGGTGGACCTTTTAGCTTTTCAATAGGTTTGAGTGGAATGGTTGGGATAGGTACCTCATGTGTTAAAGCAATAATGGCTGCAGCATAGCTTTTCCTTTGTGGTAGCATGTTGCTTGCTTGTGTGGTAGTGATCCTGGGCTGTTGGAGTGCTGGAGAGTTGAGTTGGTTGGCTGCTGCATTCTTCTTCGAGGGGATCAGTTGATGGTTGATGGGTGGTGAGGCTGTGGTGGAAGGGTGGCCGGAGGTGCCACCTGTGGTTGATGGGCCGGTTTCTGTAAGAATGCACCTTGTGGAGAGAAATGAGAATGAAATCTAGTTGTTGGATCTGATGCATCGTGCGGCTCAAATTGCATCCTGCACTCAGATTTGAGATAGTGCATTTTCAAAGGATTATGATGCATTTCAGCGTGATGCATTTTCAAACGATTTTGTTGCACCTAATTTTGATGCAATCCTAACCCTTAGATCACACAATCTAAAGCACCAGATTCATTCTCATTTCTCTCCTAAGATCGCATTCTCACCAGAACCAAAATATATATATATATATATATATATATATATATATATATATATATATATATAGGGATTGACTCTAGTGAGATGACACTTTATGGTGAGATGACATGCTTCGGTGAGATGACACAAAGCTCACCACATTACACTGCAAAGCTCACCAATAGTCAATGTAAAGCTCACTTGGAAATAAGGCAAAGCTCACCACTTTGAACACCAAAACTCACCTTTTTTTTTATTTTGAAAATTTAAAAATTAATAAAAAAAATAAAATAGCAACACCGGTCAGTGGCGGCGGCTCGGCGGAGGTGGTCGCCGGAAGCGGCGGCGGCGGCGAAGACCGGCGGCGGCGAAGACCGGCGGCGGCAGAGGTGGTCGACGGAGGCCGGTGGTGGATTTGGTCGCCGGCGGTGGCGGAGATCGGCGGCGGTCGGCAGCGACGGCGGTGGGTGCCGGCGGCGACGGCGACGATGGTGGTCGCTGGCGGCGGCAGGCAGTGGTCAAATCTGGAGTCAACGGCCAAAGTCCAGTCAGCAACCCTTCCTTTGATTTTTTTTTCCAAGAAAAATTTAAAGTGTTGAAAAAATATGGTGAGCTTTGTAGTTGTCCTTGGTGAGCTTTGCATTGGCCAGTGGTGAGCTTTGCGTAATCTGACCGTAGCATGTCATCTCACCGTAAGGTGTCATCTGACTGGAGTCAATCCCATATATATTATATATAGACACACACACATAACTTTTATTTATGTAAAACTATATTTAATTAATGGTCAAAGTTAGCTAAATAGTAAAACTAAGACAAATAATTTGGGACGAAGAAAGTGCTAAAATTTTTAGGGAGTTTTTTAAACAAATAACCTTAAATAAGAGGTAAACATAGTTTTTTTATTGAAATTGAGTGACATGTTTTTATATACTCTTTCCATTCAAAAATAAAACACGTTCACTTGATGATATTTGATTGTTATTATTTTAAAATCAATAAAAATAATAATCAGTGTAGAACTAAAAAATAAAAATTATATTTTAAAAAAATATATCATAAGTTCTACAAAGTAAGTGGTCAGAAAATTATTTTATTTCATCAAATTATAAAGGAACAATGTATAACTAAAATAGTGTTAGTTTAACTTGTAAATAGTAACTAAAATTTATATTTTAGTACAAAAGAAGTACTCGAAATAAGATTTTATATTTTGGTAATGTTATACGAAGTACCATATATTATATTTCATAGTGGCATTATTGATATTATAAATTCTATTTTGTGATAAAAAATAAAATTCTTTTCAAAGCTTTTGATTCTTTTTTTGTTTCTTTTATATGAATATGAATAAGAATACCATTTTTTTGAGGGACATGAATACCATTTGGGCAATGCTAGAGGTACACTAATACGGGGTATCCAAGTGTACACTAAGTCAACACAGACACACAGATACAAAATGTCTGTGCAACACAAATATTGTGTGTGTCTGTGGGATTGGTATACTTGAATCTTTAGGCTATTTTCCGGAGGACCTGAACCGCAGAAACCCCTCGTCTAAGGAGATGGCCGACGTGACTACTTCCGTCATCCATGAAGTCCTAGGGGGGCGGCTACGAAACGTGGACCAGCCAATCGTCGACTACATCATCAACGTACTTGCTGATGTGGACTTCGACTTCGGCCTTGATGGAGACGGTGCTTTGGAAGCAATCGGCGATCTTCTTGTCGACTCAGATTGCGCCTGTGACTACTCTGAATGTCGCACGGTAGAACTTCGATTCGTCACTGTAACTTATTATTTTTAGTTCAATATTTTGTTTTGAGTGGAAGTGCTCTAAAATTTTTATTGTGTTTCTGATGATTTGATTAATGCATACGTAGTTGATTATGTTCGTTGTAAATTTGTGTCTGTTTGTGTTTCTTTAAATAACTGTGAATTGTACTGGACAAAAGTGGCAATTTTTTTATAAGTTTATTTTATTTGTATATTTTTATGACAAAGTGGCAAATAAAAGCAAAAATTTGATGCAATTGTGTTCAATTTTTGAGAAATTAATCTATTAATGTACTGTGTTTGTTGATATACAGAGCATTATATCTAGAGCATTATGAGTTTTTTAAGTATTTGATATTAGGCAAATTCTTCCCTAGACCTAAGGTTCATGCTTATTTGGACCTTAGTGCATTTGTAACATAAAAGAATTGTGCTTTTAGCAAAGAAGAAAATATCCAGATTCAGGCCCATGAAAAATGTGAGCAGGTCTACATTCTAAATGTGAACCTTGGGACCATGTAAGCATTACTCTTGATATAATATGATGATATTTCAAAATTTCAGTGATTTAATTTAAAAAGGCTAGCACATATAGTTTGAATGTTTTATTACAATTTGAATGAAACTTGCATTACCTTTGTTTGCTTTTAAGCAAGTATAAGCTTGAACAACATTTTAGCTTCAAGTAAATAATGGTTTTAATCAAAATGACAAATTAAGCTTCTTACATACGTTGAAGATTTGGGAAGAAAATTTAAAAATGCATCAAGGGTCTAATGGAAATAGTCTCTTTGTTTTTTTACAATTAAGGTTGTGTACATCTTTACCCAAGACTTCAAAGGTTTTGGGATTGAGTTGGGATTGTTGTTGTATAAGTATGACTTTTTCTTTAAATTACAAATTGATTGGCATTCAAAATCGTTTATCATGCTGAAATTTTAGAAGTATTTCAAAGTTCTAGCAGTTCAAAAGCAATAAAAGTGTTTCAATTATCTGTGTTTGCATCATTTACTTGGTGTTTTATGTCAGATCTGTAGCAAATTGTCTGCGAAATTAGAGAAGCACGGATTGGTGAAACCAAAACCTTCTGTAAGAAGCTTAAAAGCACCACTGAGAATGTTTGATGGGATGGACGAAGAGGAAATTCCTAAAAAGAAGTCTGAAACAACTGATGGCCCTCTGCTGACTGAACGTGACAAAATCAAGATAGAAAGGAGGAATAGGAAAGAGGAGCGACAAAGAGAGGTAATTCATTTTGATGGATCTATTCTCTTAAATCTTTGTTGTGTGAAACTGACACTTTTTGAAATACTAATAGAGTTATTATCAGTTGGAAATGCTGATGACTTTTCTGTGATGAACACAACTAATGAACACACAATTTTATGAATTTCCAGTTTTACTTTCTAATTTTCTTAGTATTTAGAGTGAAACCCTCTAAATTGGTTTGGGAACTGTTTCTTGTAAGTTTTAATCAACTATTTTCATTCCTCCGTCATACTACGGCCTCATTCTATGCCATATCACTTTCATTGCCATTTTAAGTCTGGTATTATTTTTATGGTTTTGTAGGCACAGTATGAACATCATTTAAGAGAGATGGAAGCTGCCAGAGCCGGGATGCCTGCTGTTTGTGTAAACCATGATGTTGTGGATGGAGCAGCAATCAAGGATATACATATGGAAAATTTCAACATATCCGTTGGTGGTCGTGATCTTATTGTGGATGGAACTGTGACACTTTCTTTTGGCAGGCACTATGGTGAGTTCAATATTTTCTTTTCCAATATGTGCAAACTCTTGCTTCATGCTACATAATTCTCACTCTTGCTTTTATTTGACTATTGGTTTTACGGTTTTTTATTCTGTTCCCTATTATATATGTATAATTGTCTTTTTTCTTTTGTATGATACAATATCATGCCATATTTATTTAAAATAATAGAAAAATAAGTGCTATGATAGAAAATTAACTCTTACCATGTCTAGAACTCCTTTAAATGATGTGCTAATAGCTATTGATTTTGAACCTGTTCTATATAATTATATATTTTACCCAAAGCTATGCCAAAATTTGTAGATTTAAATGTTACAACCAAAAAGAGTAGTACTGCGGCGTACCGAGGTGGGGGGGGGGGGTTGGGGTTTGCTACCTCCTTAATGCATAATCTATAAGTATGTAGACTTTTATATGGTAGGTACGTACTCTGTATGTGTTAAGTATAATAACTAATTTCATTTTTCGAAATTCATTACGTAGTCGATTCAAAGTATGTATGCTTGGTGTCAACAAAGTTAAACACAAAGGTTGTCCCAAAATGCAATATTGGAAGTAACAATAACAACATTACCCTAGTGCCTCAAAGGCTCCCGCCCATTGCAGGGTAAGAGGGGGGGGGGTTGGATGTACGCAGTCTGACCCCTATATTTAAAACATAGAGCGGCTGTTCCCGGATGAGCCATGATGAGCAACGAAAGTTGCATTGACAGTTTAAAGAAACATTTTGGTTTTTCCATCACACCCATCAATGTAACTACTGAGGGAAAAATGTTTAAACCATCCTAACTTTTGATATCATCAGTTTAGGCGAGTCCTTGGCTTATCTTGCACCTATAACTTATACTCCCTCTGTCTCGGTGTTTTTGTCCAGTTTCATTTTGGCTCTTGGACCAAGAAAACTATAATATGGCCAATGTACCCTTGCTTACCACTTAGACCATGTTCTCTTCACCTGATTTGAATGGTTCTGATCAGATTGGAATAAGTCTGGATCTGAATGTAGTTATATTTAAAGTTGTTTCGGTCTGAATTCATTCCAGTAAGAATAAGTAATAAGTAATAAGAATAAGTTGAAAGAAAAATGCCTTACACAAGCTGATCCCTGTTTTTGACTATCTATCAAATACGGAGTACAAAATGCTTTTGTTAATCAATAACTTATCATGGACACAACTCAATTTGCTATTGATAAATTGTTCATCAAACAAATCAAGTGAAAACTTGCTTTTAAAAAATCTTTCGAAGATCAGATGTATCTAGGGTAATCTAGAACCAAAAAAAAATTTAAATGCAAGCAAGTCACAAAAAAAAAGAGAAAAATTGGATCCACCATCTACTTCTATTTGATCGAATCATGACAGGAGGGCACCATCTTCGATGGAGAAAAACTTAAATCTATTGCTATTGCATCTGTGGATGCTGGGGAATAGATCTCTAAGCGAGAAAAGCTTGGGGATCCATTGTTTTTACATTTTTGGCTCAAGGACAGACCTGCAACTGATAAAAGCTTAGATCTAGTTTGCTGCACCTGTACTTGCTGAAGGAGAGATCAGCAATTGAGAAAAGTGTGGCTCCAGCACCATCTTCATCAAATCCGTAGTTTGATTCATCTGTCACTCCATGAGTAACCTTCATCTGATGGGTTGGTAGCTGTTGAAAAGTATGACGAATTGACGATGAAGGATTTAGAGTGAATTATTGAAACAAGAAGGAAGAGAATGAATGAAGAGATTGTGGCTTAGTCTCACGAAGAGAGGACAATGTTAGAGAAAAAGGGAGACGTAATTGGGGGCAAAAGGGTCACTATAGGATATTTAGTTTACCATACAAGGAAAGTGGACAAATACATTGGGACTTCCGAAAAGGGAAAAGTGGATAAAATCATTTGTTTTTAACTTTTGATCCTTATTTTTATATTTATATAAACTTAATATGCTAATATGTGAAATCTCGTCTATCACACATTAAGTGCATGGAGTACTCACGTCTTAACTCCTTTTCTTATGATGAGTGATGCACACACATCCTAAACAAATCATGAGATTTAAATCATTAAAGTTTGTGATGAAATGTGTGAAGGTAAGGTGTTCGGTTAGTTTTGTCTCTGAATGGGCTATATCGAATCGAGCACGGCTTCTCATACCACTGGTCCCTTTGTCAATCATGCTGAACTATAGCTGTATTTCGTAATCAAAGTCAATTTTCTTCATTTCTTGCACTTTTGCAATCCTATGATGTGTATTCAGCACTTAAGATGTTGCTCCTGACCTACACAGGCCTAGTGGGACGGAATGGAACTGGGAAAACAACATTCCTTAGGTACATGGCTATGCATTCCATAGATGGTATTCCCCGGAACTGTCAGATCTTACATGTGGAGCAGGAAGTTGTTGGTGACAATACTTCGGTTTTGCAATGTGTCCTCAATTGTGATGTTGAAAGAACTCAACTTTTGGAAGAAGAAAGTCATCTACTTGAATTGCAGGTTGAAAACATTATCTTCATAATTATTTTTTGACACATTCTATGGACTAGTCTTGCAGTTTCCTTTATTGTGTTTGTTGCCCATACAACCTTTGAAATGCTTGAATGGTTTCTAGAAAGATATTGAACTAGAAGGTGAAGTTGGAAAGGGCAATGGGGAAACATACAAAAATGCTATTGCACAAAGACTTGAGGAGATATACAAAAGGCTTGAGCTTATTGATGCTTACTCTGCCGAGTCACGTGCAGCATCCATCCTTGCGGTCAGTTCTTAGTACCGGATGATTGTGTTTTTTGAATTTATGTTTTGTGAATCTTTCATGTTTATCATGCAAGCAACTTGTAGATCTGGCTCTTCTATAGAACCTCAAATGCATGTGGGTTGGATGTGGATCTAACTTTTCTCAGATCATCAAAGATGTTGGAATGCCTTGAATTCTAACCTATTTGACTAGTCAACAATGGCTGCACCTGGCTGGAAAGTTGCTGGAAACCAGCTGGAAAGTGGCTGCAAACTTGCTGGAAAGTAGCTAGAAGGAGGCCTAGACAATTGGGCAAGTGGGTTGCTAGTTGGTGAGGTGTGCCAGCTGTATGACAGCAGTATTCAGGGCTGTCAACAGCTCAGTTCCCACTGGATTTAGGCAGCCAAGTTGGCTGCCATCTTTCCTATAAATAGGTTCATTTGTAAGGCATTCATATAGAGATTAGTCACCTAGAAAATCCCTCTGTAATCTCTCTCCTCAATCAGTAAAAGCTCTCCTCTCTTCGGTTAGGTGGATGTAGCCAACATATCGTTGGTAAACCACGTTAAATCTGTGTGTGTTTGTTCTTTCGTTTCTTTATTGTTTGTTATCTTTCTTACATCCGTCATAACAAAAGATTTGAAATGTATCTGGGTCTGCCCTTTTTAAGAAATGGGACCACTAAAAAGCAAGGGCCAGCAGTTTTAATAGCTTGTGCATTGGTTTGAATTCATCAGAATGATATAAAGTTTCATTGAATCCTATTGTATATGATGTGTTTCTTGAAAAAAAGTTCATTTTTCTATAGAGCTATTTGGCATGGCCAAATGGCCAATTTTCATTCATGAATTTATATTCTTCAGGGCCTCAGTTTTACCACAGAAATGCAAAAGAGGGCTACAAAAACCTTCTCTGGAGGATGGAGGATGAGAATAGCACTTGCACGAGCATTGTTTATCGAACCTGATTTACTGCTTCTTGATGAACCAACGGTTTGTTATATTTCATAATTTCCATTAAAAGCTCATATGTGCACTAAAATGTCATATGCAATGTCAAACTATGCAAGCTCTCACTTTCTTCGTGACAGAATCATCTTGATCTTCATGCTGTCCTGTGGCTTGAGTCTTACTTGGTGAAGTGGCCGAAGACATTTATAGTAGTTTCCCATGCTAGAGAATTTCTGAACACTGTATGCCCTATGCTTCTATGCTTACCCTTACAATACCAGATTGGTTTTTGTTTGATATGTAAATTATTTCAATTAGCTTGATTTGATGTTTTTCCAGGGGCTTCCTCAAAACATACAAATAATTGACAATATCTTATTCAGGTTGTCACAGATATTATTCACCTTCAAAACAAAAAACTTGTTACCTATAAAGGAAACTATGATGCATTTGAGAGAACTAGAGAAGAAAAAATTAAGAACCAACACAAAGCAGTTGAGGCCAATGAACGCTCCAGGGCCCACATGCAGGTATGCGTGCTTGCTAGTTGATACACATGTTTTTTTGGGCGGGGGAGATTTGCGTTTTTATGTAATGTTTATCGTTCCTCTTTTAATACTTGCATAATATTATTGGTGAGCCCGGTCTATCACTCAAATCCCACTAAAGCTAACTGTACATTCAACAGTGTGCAAACACAAATACGAACAAACAAATAACATTCTACGACTAAGTTCTACTTCATTTTGATTAATAGTTTTATATTCTTTTCCATGATTTATGACAGACATTCATTGATAAGTTCCGCTACAATGCAAAGCGTGCATCTCTTGTTCAATCTAGAATCAAGGTACTCTTCAGCTCTTCTACAAATTTACAAACTCCTTACTTTTTAATGATTGTTCACATGAAAGTACTGTTTATGACTTTGTCACCTGGTAACCTTGCATTATAGTACAAACATATGCGTTAATCAATTTTTGAGTAGTAGATGGTATACGTGTAATGCCCAAAGTTTTAAAAGGAGGCGGTGAGGAAAAATTCCCTGAAGCGTAAGCCCTAGAGGCGGGACGAGGCTTAAGCCTCAGTTCAATTTGAAAAAAAAAGCTAATATAAATATTCCAAGGAAAAACATAATCTAAAGGCTTAAGTTCCTGAAATTTGAAAAAACTAATTCCCTATCCTAATTCTTAAAATACAAATTAGAGAATTACCCTAAAAATAAAAAATAGTACTCCGTAGCATAAAATGCATTCACAAAGCCTTCAAATCCGTTTTCAAATCCGTTACTTTATAAATTAGAGACCAAAGGAAGCGGTGCGTGAGAGAAGCTGCGCTAGGTTGACGTCTTGACGATAAACGGTAAATATAGCATAAATCATCAAGTGAATACAATGTAAGAATATGAAGTTTTTAAAAGTATTCAGGCCCAAGATAAGTTTTAAAAGCCCAATAGCTTTGTAAAAAGAACTCACAGTGCCACAAGTGCTAAAATTTCTAAGAGTAGTGAGGCTATCGCCTCACAGCCTTGTACCGCCTTGGCATGGCAGGGCGTACGTCTCACATAACCCTACTGAGGCTTACACCTTTGTGGCTTAGAAGACCCGCTTCAGTGCCTCATTGCCTCGAACGCCTTTTTAAAACCATGATAATGCCATGCGTTTAACCAGTTTAAATTCGGAATCTAGTATTGCCTATTTTTTAAATGAGTGAAGAGTATTTATTGAAAGCATAATATAATGACTTCCTAGGTGTCAAAGTAAATACTAGAGGAAAAAAGCACTGGCACAGAAAGTTACACAAACAACATTGAATTCACGACGGCAAATTTCTGCCCATATGTGCAAGAGAGTTCCGTTTCAGTTTCTATTTCTTTGCAACATGTCATTGTTAAATGTTCATTATAAGTTAAGCATGAACAACCTTTGTGCTAATAATCTAATTATGTTTTTTGATGTAGGCATGTAGCCATGCTTCCTACTTACTGATCTATTGTTTTTATCAATAACCGCACATTTGGAGGGGGCGAGGGGGGGTGCAGGGGTGGGGGTAATGGGGGGGGGATAGGGGACGGGGGTTAGGAACCATCAATTTTGTGAATGGAGCATCATATGTTCTACCCTCAAGTGCTTCGTTTGCAAAATTGATGATTTCTACCCCCTAAAGTCCTAAACCCCCCGTCCCGATGTGTAGCTATTAATGCACCTTGCTCAAGAGCAAGGTTTTGTTGACACCAGAGTACGGTGACACTTTGGTGCCACTAGGTTTTTGCAGCACCTCCGGTGCTGCCTTCGTAAAATTGTTGGTTTCTGCCTCCGGAGGCGGGTAGAAACCATCTATTTTGTGAAAGGAGCACCAGATAAACCCAGTGGCACCAGAGTGACCGCACTCCGGTGTGAACGGAACCTTGCCCTTAATATAATAATAGTAATTATAATTATTATAATTATTATTAGTATTATTAGTATTGTTTATTATTATTATTATTATTACCATAACTACAATTATTATTATTGTTATTATTATTATTATTATTCTTCTTCTTATTATTATTACTATTACGTAGTATTATTTGTGTTATCATCTGGTGATCCAGTTTGTGTCACGACCTTCAATTTATGTCATGATTATCTTAATATCTTCATGATATGTAATGTGAAATTGTGTGCATCTAATCATGTGTAACTGCCAAACTACTATTGGTTCACCAAGCTCTTCATTAAAATGTTCTTTTTGTCAGGCGCTTGATAGGCTGGGTCGTGTAGATGAAGTTTTCAATGATCCAGAGTATGCATTATGTTCTAAAGCTGCATATAAATAGTCCTCACCTTCCTCTCTTAAAAGTGCTAATGAGGCTTCCATACAATTATCTTTTTGTAGGTACAAGTTTGAATTCCCTTCCCCCGATGACAGACCAGGGCCTCCAATTATAAGCTTCAGGTAACACTATGATTATTAGATTTGTTTTATATTTTAGATTTCAAGGGTACTTCAGTGTCGTGCTTGTGGCTCCTCCATTGAACAATGTTGTTTGTGTTAAGTATTCTGATACCACATATACTGATGAACTACTATTATGAATCAAATCTAAGGGATACAAGCTACAATCAAAGGAAGTATTATTGCTCAAATAGAATAAGAACCCTAACAAAGACTAGCATCATCATTATCAACATCCTTAATTCCAAAGCATTTGGGTCTGGTGACATTAATTTTAGAGTATCAAGTATGATCTATTTGCAGTATATAATCACGTGCAGATTGCACAAAGCATAACACTAATGTCTTGCGTTAGATGCCTTCCTGTTGCCCGAAGCAAAAATGAGACAAAAATACTCAAACCTCATCATTAAATTTTAATTTCCACATGCATGAAAATTAGGGGTGAACCTAGCGGGCTAGCCGGCTCTGGTGTACCGATTCGGGACCGACCAAAGCAGAGTTGAACTATAACCAGAAAGGTTTAACACCAGTCTGGTATAATCACTAGTGGCGGTTAATGAATGTTTGGACCTTTAATTTTTGTTTTTCAAAATCAAATAGTTAATATTATTTTTGTGGGGAAAAATAACTTGTGAAAAAAGGCACACATTATATAATTGGAGATATGCACATCTGTATTAATAGGAGCCAACCCAGCATACAATTGGGTACTTGTCCCAGTTCATGTTCCAGTCCTGGGACTGGTGAACGTTTTTTGGTTGAAAAATTGGCTTCCCTAATCCCTATCGGGTACCCAGTCCAGAAACAAGACTGTTAGGAACAAAGGCACATACACACAAATAGAAAGCAAGAAAGCATTAAAGAACACAAGAGATTTAACGTGGTTTAGTCTAATCTGACCTACATCCACGAGGGCAACTAGGGTTTGTATTATTGATTGATGATGATTACAAGTACATGAGATCATATATGTAGACAACTAATTAGGGTTTAACCCTTGCTGAACAAGTTATTGCAAACTAGGCTTAAAACCATTTGGGCCGGCCAAACCCTAATATGGTCTTCTCTAAATTTTCAGTTGTCATAAGTGTGGGCCACTCTGGGCCGATGACTACATATTACCAACAATCTCCCACTTGGAGTCTTTGGACCAAATTGCGGCTTCTCTCTGTACTTCTGTAAATGAAAAATCCTCCTTCATCTTCACATCTCCCTAGTTGCCCCTCTCAACACTATTCCAGGAGACCAGCTGAAGCTATGCAAAGCTTCAGCTTATCCAGCACCACTGACTTGGTGAACATATCTGTTGGATTCTTAGCACTTGAGATGTTCTTCAATTTGATTGTTCCATTACTGATCAATCCTCCCACTGTAAAGACATACCATGTAGTGCTCTTAAATGTCTCTCTACAACCACCCAAATCAGCATCTGTAAAACCTCTAAGAATAGCATCCTTCCCTCTGAAACATAAACCCATTTTTTGGGTTCCCTTCATATATCTAAGTGTCCATTTGACAGCTTCCCAATGTTCTCTACCTGGATATGACATAAATCGACTAACAACACCAACGGCATGAGGAATATCGGGTCAAGTGCAAACCATGGCATACATGAGGCTCCCAACCGCTGATGCATAAGGAACTTTAGCCATTTCTGAACTTTCTTCTTCAGATTTAGGTGACTGTTCTTTGGTCAGCTTCAAATGACTTCCCAGTGGGGTACTTCTAGGCTTGGTCTTCCCGTCATTCATCTTGAATCTCTCTAACACCTTCCGTATGTATTTCTCATGAGACAGTGTTAGAGAACCATTCTTGTTTCTGATGATGCTCATCCCAGTATCTGTTTGGCTGGACCCAAGTCTTTCATCTCAAATTCTGGAGACATTTCTTTTTTCAATTTGCTTATTTCTTTCATTTCAGATCCTGCAATCAACATATCATCAACATATAGGAATAAGATGATATAGGAGTTGCTGAATTTCTTCAAATAGCAACAATGATCCATCTCACATCTTTTAAACCCCTATCTCTCCATGAAGTTATCAAACTTCAGGTACCATTGTCTAGGTGCCTGTTTAAGACCACTTCAGGTACCATTGTCTAGGTGCCTGTTTAAGACCATATAAGCTCCTTTTCAATTTGCAGAGCCAATTTTCTTTGCCGACAACCTGAAACCCTTCAAGTGGTGCCATGTAAATGTCTTCATTTAGATCACCATGTAGAAAATCTGTTTTCACATCTAGTTGTTAGAGAGGACCAGATCAAAGCAAAATAGAATATTTTATTTCTGTAAACTGTACAAGATTATTTGTGTTCACTAAATATAAATAGAGAATAGGCCAACATGACTTTTACTAACCAACACAACTATTACAAACCAACACACCTATTAACAATAAAAACTACCCATATCTGACCCAAACATTTGCTCATTACCCATTCGGTTACATGTGAACAAACCCGATTAAATCTAAGAATCACGCCTTTAATCGTTGTTTGTTCACACTGCTCACAGCAACGTTGGTTCATCATCTTCAATCAAATTTGCAATCAAAACGACCACCATCCCGACCTTTCCCGGACCCCCGACCTCTACCTCGGCCACATCCAAAGTCTTCTCGGTTTGTGTTCCACCAACCACATTGCTCACGTTTGTGCTTCTGAACATTCTGTTTTTCATCGGTCATCACCTTTAGTGAATAGTAGTTTACCATGCGTATCTCCTTCCTCAGTTGGCTTTCTGATGCGTTCCTCGAATGCTTTCAATCTTCCAACCGCTTCTTGAAACGGCATTGTGTTAATGTCAGCAAACTGTTCAATTGCAGCAACGATCTGTATGAACTTTTCAGGTCTAGAACCCAAAAGCTTTCGAACCAATCTTTTGTCTTCAAATGCAGACCCAAGGTTGTTTGCTTGTGTTGCAAGTTGACTAATTTTACCAGCAAAATCATCAAGTGACTCATTGTTCTTCATCTTTAGAGTCTCAAAATCTGATTCAAGTGTCTGTCATCGCGCCGCTTTAACCCTGTCAACACCAACGAAGCGAGTCTTCAAAGCATCCCAAATTTCTTTTGCTTCAGTAAACTGAGCAACTTGTAACACGATCTCTTCCGGCAAAGCTTGAAACAGATATGTTATTGCCATATTGTTCTTTGGATCGATTTCTATTCCTGGTTCGATCACCTCCCAAATCCCATTAACATTAAAAATTGCTTTGATCTTCACGGCCCAAATAGTGTAGTTTGTAGCAGCTAGAATTGGAAGCGTAAAAGATAGTGAACTATTCTCCCTTGTAGTCAAAATCTGTCTATTGTCTTCCATTGCACGACTTTAATTCCTATGACAATTTTCACAAAATTTTTAGATTTTGATTCCTTCCTGGTCGTAAGCCACCTGCAATCGACCATCAACCAGAAGACAAGCCTCTGCTTTTCCGTCTTCCAAGCCACCAAACGAAAGCTACCCCACCGATTCGTTTTTCCCGCACTGTTTGGTTTCTGCCAAAGGAAAAAAACTAGCCACTTGCTATTCTTGTCCTAGGGAAGGAAGACTCTTGTCGAAGATTTTTGATCGGTTGTCAAGGAAGTCTCTAAAGCTTTGTTTTATGATCTGGCAGCCCTTTTACACACCTCTTGTTCACAAGGCAGACCGCTCCCTTTGATCGTTGGGTCCTGTTTGGATAGTCGCTACGATACTGATTGTTAGGAGGACCAGATCAAAGCAAAATAGAATATTTTATTGCTGTAAACTGTACAGGATTATTTGTGTTCTCTAAATATAAATAGAGAACAGACCACCATGACTTTTACTAACCAACACAACTATTACAAACCTACACACCTATTAACAATAGAAACTACCCATCATTGCGTTTTAGAAACTACCCTTAGTTTTTTAATTAATTAAATATGTAAAACACACTAAACGACACCACACTAACTGACTCTATACTAACTGACCCAAACATTGACTCATTACCCATTCGGTTATATGTGAACAAACCCGATGAAATCTAACACTAGTTGCTCTAGAAGTAAATTCTCTGCTGCTACAATACTCAAAACTAACCTGATGGTTGTCATTTTTAGCACAGGAGAGAAAATCTCATCATAATCAACCCCCCTTTTCTACTGAAACCCCTTGACCACTAAACAGGCTTTATACCGTTTAGACCCATCATTCCCAAGTTTTGTTCTTTTTTTAGAGAGCTCATCTTGTCCTTCATTGCATGCTCCCACTGGAGAGAATCTTTCATCTTGACTGCCTCGGAGTAGCTTTCTGGCTCATCATTTTCTGTCAAGAGAATATAATTAACTGAAGGACAATTACCTATCTGGCTTCTTTGTATTTTTAACTCTGGTGGACCTCCTGACCCACTGATCAGTGTGGTCAGATTGTTGTTGGAATTGTTCATTTTCAGACTCTGAACTCCCAGCCTTTAGGTATAGATCTTCCCCTGTAACTGTTTCTCCTCTCTTTCTTCTCTGAGTGCTCAGCAGAGAATTGGATGACTCACCTGTATTCTTTCTCCTGATGTCTTCTCCTAAGATAAAATCACGGATTCCCTCAAACGTGAGTGTGGTGTTTCCAGCTGAATCACTAATAGCCATGACTGATCCTGACCAACTATCCAGTAACGAAGATAAAAGAAGCAAAGCTTGTACCTCATCATCAAATTTGATATCAATTGGTAGAAAACGGGATATGATGGTATTGAAAACATTGATATGAGTAGTAACAGAGCCACCTTCCCGCATACGAGTGTTAACTAACTGTCTAATCAAGAATACCTTATTAGATGCGGAAGGTTTCTCATACATGTTTGACAACATTGTCATAACCCCACGAGCAATAGTCTCTTTCACGATGTTGAAAGCCACACTCTTTGTCAAAGTGCACCGGATGACGGCTAGGGCTTTTCTATCCAAGTCAGCCCATTCTTCATCTTTCATCTTCTCGGGTTTCTGACCTGTCAAACATGGAAGATCTTTCTCACATAGCAAGTCCTCGACTTGCATCTTCCACCATCCAAAATCTTGCCCATCAAACCTCTCTATCCTGATCTTTCCATCCTCAGACATCATCTCTTCTGAGTACCCAAAATCTGACCAGAGAACACGTGAGAACAGATCAAAACAAACAACCAGAGCTGACCTAAAAAATTGTAGCAGCAAACTGATAGGCGAGGCGAGCAAACGAGGCGTCCCAGTGACAGCGCCTTATCGCCTAGGCGACGCCTTACAAACTATGCTGTCAACAGATGACTGTCTCGGTGGTCTTCGGATGTGTCGGCGGAAACCCTAGAGCCACTAGGGTTTGCATAGAGGCTGATGTGTGTGTACTACCTATAGGCTCCGATACCAGTTGTTAGGAACAAAGGCACACACACACGAATAGAAAGCAAGAAAGCAAAAAAAAAAAAAAACACAAGAGATTTAACGTGGTTCGGTCTAATCTGACCTACATCCACGGGGGCAACTAGGGTTTGTATTATTGATTAATGATGATTACAAGTACATGAGATCATATATATAGACAACTAACTAGGGTTTAACCCTTTCTGAACAAGTTATAGCAAACTGGGCTTAAAACCATTTGGGCCAGCCAAACCCTATTGAGCATATTCTTGACCTACTACTTCATAATGCGGTTTTGGCCCACTTTTTCTGGTCTAATTGTTAATTAATGAAGATGTGATATGTTATAATGTTATTCTAAATCTCTAATTCTTTTTGTGGCAATAATTATCGTATTACGCTAAAAAACACTACAATGCAAGTTGATTATAATTGATAGCATGAAAAAATCTAATAATGGAAATATAATAATAACAAAATATTATGAGTTGTGCAAATAAAAATGACATGATATTATATGGAGGCAACATTCTCAGCTCTTGAAGACATGTACTAAGTGATGACATTGTGCTGACAGTTGTCTACTGCTCTTATCTCCTTTACATTTTTGGTCCGTTAATTTTCTACCAGTGCCGCAGTGACTGGCAGGCAGGGATGTTATAATGATGCTAGTTAATAACATGAGTTCACTTGTTTTCTGGATTGTTTCTTTACTTAGAGTTGTTTTATTAGATTTAAGTGTTTGTATCTGCATCTTATTTACTTGCTCACTTGTGCCTTCACTTGCGTCAGTTGCGTGTGCTTGTGCTGTTGTGTATGCTGTTGTGCTAGTCTTGCTTTTGTGGTCTTTCTCCTGTAGTTTTGGCTAGTGCTACGAGGTTTTCCTTGTGTTCTTCCTTTTGTGGTGTTCTTTTTGGATGGCTTAGGTTAATGATGGTGGCATAACCTCATATCCCTGGGTGGGCGAGGGGGGTAGTGGAGATTCTAGTTTGAGGTCTGGCTCGTCTTACATAGGAACCCTTACAGGTAAGTCCATAGAGTTGGTGAAGATCCTTAAGAAGAGGAGTATTCATGTGGTCTGCTTGAAGGAGGCTCTATGAGTGGGCACCAAGACACATGATGTGGATGGGTTTAAGTTGTGGTATTCTGGCGCCCCAAGGAATAAGCACAGGTTTGGCACTTGGTTGCCCAAGATCTTTGGGAGTTTGTGGTTAAGATGAGGAGGGTTTGCTGATTGGCTTATGGTTATTAAGTTCATCCTGGGGTGTACTCTCAATGTCGTGAGTGCCTACGCATGCCAAGATGGCTTGGACGACGACGTTAAGAGGGGAAAGTTTTTGGGAGGAGGGTGATCGAGGGCATCTCGCAGCCAGAGAAAATCGTCATTGGAGACAATTTTAATAGCCACATCAGGGTGCTGCACTAATCACCATTTAGTACGACAATGATTCCCAATTTGCAGCTGACTCAAGGTGTTTGACAAGCTTAAGAGAAATAGAAGACTATTAATATTATCTCATTGTGACCTATCATACTTTCCCTATCCAGTTGGTGTGTTAAGTCATGATCTCGTGGCTCGAACAGTTGATCATTGATATGCTCACTGATGTGCAGTGGAACATATTTTGAGTTACTTGAGGGAAGCACCAGGATGAGGCATTGTTAATCAAAATCATGCAATCATGAAGATGGAGTGTTTTGCAAAATTGATTGGGCAGGCTCTAAGGACGATCAATGCTCTATGGCTGGCTGTGTGTCTTCATCAGTGGCAATTTATTATCATTTATAAATAAGAAACAAAATTGTGTATCTAAATAATGCAGAATGAGAATATCGTGCAATGGCACCATATGCATGTGAAATAATGTTGATAAATTACCAATGTCTGCAAAATTGCATCTGAATCTAGTTTCCCTACACATTGCATCTAATTCCGTCTTTCATGAGAAAACAAAATCGATATCATTTTGTCTTATTGTGTATGAAAACATACCTAAACAAAACATGTCATTTTGTCTATGAAACTCCTTCCTTCCCGCAATGAAGTTTATACTTTTCTTTTCTGTCCATCCCAAACTGAACTTTACACCTATCCATTTCCTTTTTAGGAAAGAATATTTGTTACAACATTTTTCTCTCTTCTAAATAAATTTGATTCATACACTTTTAATCTTTTGAACACTTTTCTCGAACTCTATGAAGTCAAAGCATACAATTGTTTCTATTGAATATGTAAAAACCAGAGAACAGTTTGAATGCTTGTTTACTAAAGCACTAAGTGATACTCAGGTTAATTATCTATATAACAAGCTGGAGATGGTAAATACATGCTCCAACTTGTGAGAGTGTTAGACTATAGCTATACTAATTATAGTTGTAGAGCAGGTATGTCTACACTAAAGACAGCTCGATTAAACAAGGAAGCCAACACCTTTCTAAAAACAAGGACAAACAATCTGGGCATAAACATTGCAAGAAAACTGAGACTTAGGAAGGTTACCTCTGCTATGATTACATTTGCATACATCTGTATTTTGGGAAATAAAACAACATATGAAATTCTCTCTTTTTCAACTTTTTTTTCTGAAGGATGATCTTTTATTTGGCTAGTTCTGTTTTGATAAATCTGAGGCATGTTTTTTCAGTTGACTTGTAACCATTTGTGACTTTGGCAGTGATGCATCTTTCGGATATCCAGGGGGGCCATTATTATTCAAGAATTTAAATTTTGGAATAGATTTGGATAGCCGAATAGCAAGTAAGATTGATTGAATGGTTGCTTAAATATTTATGCCTACTTTTACTTCTATGTTCATATTATTGTAATCGATGCATGGTAAGAATAAAGAAGATATATTGCAAAGCAAGGAAATTCACGGTAGGAAGGGTGTAACGGCTGTTCAGTTTTTTTTTTTTGGGGGGGGGGGGCAGCCATGTTAGTTTGTTTATGTCACTCATTCAGAAGTAGGTACCCCAGTATGTAGAGTGGAATC